ACAAACGTTGCCAATGTGAGCATAAGCCATTTTCCTCTGTCTCAGTGCATGAAAAAAGACCTTTAGATGTTGTTAAGATGAAACAAAAAAGAACACATGAATGAAGAGAGCATGGAGCTTGGGTTATGTCAACCAGAAGTATGGCAAAGAAAATAAGGAGTTGTTTTCACTCCTCATGACCCATCACACGGCTAACCTTTGACTGAGAAGGTGGAATAGAGACACAGAGGAATGGAGGGAAGTTAGAGGGAGTGAAGGTGGTGGTGAAAGGATGTGTGCTAACCATAAGAACAATAGTTACCCGTTTCAGCTCTTCATAACTCAGTATCAAGAAGTTCTCCTTCCTTTTCATGGACACCCAGCCATGAGTGTGGTCAAACCAGGATCCATACGGCACTGCATATTGGGGAGGCAGGAAGAGGGGGTCGATTACAAAGTCTATGAAAGCAGGGATCCATCTATCATATTCACTCTTGTGGGAACAGTTAATAGCACAACGTCTGGCACATGTAGGCCTGTCCTAAGAATTTGCTGAATAAATGAGAGTAAAGATGTAAAACTATTATCCAACATCATGCAATTACCCTGTAAATACCGTTGTTTATTTGGAGCAGGCTCTGTACCTAGTTTTCAAGGGTGTCTAAGGGGATCCTGTCCAGAGAGCCATGTGGCCTGAGGAATGGTATTTTTTGCTGCCTCAAATCAGTTTAATGTTTAGAAATTTTGGTTGATAGGTCATTCCTACAGCCCTTGAAGATATTTTTCTCTCTTCTTGCTGTCACTGATGCTATTACAATTATTGTTCCTTTGGAAATTATCTGTCTTTCCTTTGGTTTAAAGTTTTCTTCCCTTTTTGCTACTACAGCTTTCCTAGAGACTAGGCAAAGATTTCTTTGTAATAATTCTTTGTGAGGTTAGATTTGGTTCTTCAAACTGAGACTTCATTAATGGAGGAAATTCTTAGGCATGTCTCCTTGAAAATTTCCTTTCTCTATATTTCATTTTATCTTAGAATGTAAATCTTCTCACTCTATCCTCAATGTCTTAACTACTTTATTCTCTTCAATGGCTATCTACCATGCCTAAGCACTTCTTAACTCCAAATGTAGTGGAAAATTAATTATCAACTGAGAATTCTACTTCGTTAAACTATCATTCAAGAATGAGCATAAAGGAGACATTTTCAGGCAAAATACTGAGAGAACTTACCACTTTTGTTATGATAGAACTAGGCTAAGTTATACTTTATGAGTAAATAAAGTGAATCCAGGAGGAAGGAACAATCAATGAGTCAAGAGGAAATCCAAAGGTAAATAAAAAATATCATGACACAAACAAAAATGGAAGCACAATATATCAAAACTTATGGTTGCAGCCAGAGCAGTTCTAAGAGGGAATTTCATAGCTTTACACACCTACATTAAGAAAAAAATACTCAAGTAAAAAATTTAACTTCACAACTCAAGGAACTAAAAAGAGAAGAACAAACTAATCTCAAAGTAGGCAGAATTAAGTAAATAACAAAGATCAGAGCAGGAAAAAAATGAAACAGTGACAAGAAGAAAATAGAATAGATTAACAAAAATAAGACCTTGTTTTTTAAAAAGATAAATAAAATTGAGAAACCTTTAGCTCGATTAAGAAAATTCCGAACAGACTCAAATAATTAAAACATGAAGGAAGAGGCACTACAACTATTGTCACAGAAATACAAAGGATCATAGCAGATTACTATGAACAATTATATGCTAACAATTTGGATAACCTAGAAGAAATGCATAAATTCCTAGCAACACACAACCTATGAAGACAGCGTCATGAAGAAATAGAAAATCTGAATTGTCCAATAGAAAGTAATGAGATTGAATCAGTAATCAAATATTTCCCCAAAAAGAAAAGCCCCGGACCAGATAGTTTCCTGGTAAATTCTAGCAAACCGTTAAGGAAGAATTAAAACCACTTCTCCTCAAACTTCCAAAAAATTGAAGAGGAGGGAACACTCTCCAACCCTTTTTATGAGGTCTGCATTTCAGCGATACAAGGGCCAGATAAGGACACTATAAGAAAGGAAAACTACAGCCCAATATTCCTGATGAATATAGATGCAAAAATTCCAAACAAAATATTAGCAACCTCAATTCAAGAGCACATTAAAAGCATCATACATCATGGGATGCAAGGATGGTTCAACATATGCAAATCATTAATGTGATACACCACAGTAACAGTAAGAAGGATAAAAATCATATGACCGTTTCAGTAGATGAAGAAAAAGCAACCTTCCCATGTTAAAAATTCTCAACAAATTAGGTAGAAAAGGAGTGTTCCTTTCTCATCATAAAAAAGGTCATATATGAGATGTCCACAGCTAACACTATACTGAACGGTGAAAAATTAAAAGCTTTTCCTCTACGATTAGGAAAAAGACAAGGATGTCCACTGTCGCCATTTCCATTCAGCAGAGTTCTAGAAGTCCTGGCTACAGTAATTAGGCAAGAGAAAATCCAAATCAGAAAGGACGAAGTAAAATTATCTTTATTTGCAGATGACATGATCTTATATGTAAAAAACCTCAGAGACTCTGCCAAAACCTGGTAGAACTAATAATTGAACTTAGTAAAGTCCCAAAATATAAAATCAACACACAGAAAACAGTTGTGTTTCTACACACTAACAATGAACTATTTGAAAGAGAAATTAAGAAAGCAATCCCATTTACAATAGCAGTAAAAACAATAAAATACTTTGGAATAAATTTAATCACTGAGGTGACAGACCTGTATGCTGAAAACTATAAGACATTGATTAAAGAGATTGAGAAGACACCAATTAATGGAAAGATATCCTGTGTTCTTGGATTGGAAGTATTAATATTGTGCCAATGTCATACTATCCAAAACAATCTACAGATTCAGTGCAATCCTCATCAAAATTCCAATGGTATCCTTCTCAAAAGTAGAAAAAAGAAATCCTAAAACTTGTATGAAAGCACAAAAGATCTCAAATAGACAAAGCAATCCTGAAAAAGAAGAAGTATGCTGGAGGCATCACACTTCCTGATTTCAAGCATTAATACAAAGCTATAGTTATCAAAACAGTATGGTACTGGCATAAAAACAAGCACACAGACAGGTGGAACAGAAGAGAGAGTCTATACATAAATGTGCACGTAGACGGTCACCTCATTTTTGTCAAGTGCACTAAGACACACAATGGGGAAAGGATAGTCTCTTCAGTAAACGGTGCTGGGAAAACTGGATATCCACGTTGAACAAGAATGAAACTGGACCCCTATCTTACACCACTCACAGAAATTAATGCAAAATGGATCAAAGACTGACATGTAAGACCTGAAACCATAAAAATCCCAGAAAAAAAACATAAGAAAAAGATCCTTGATGTTGGATTGGCAATGATTTCTTGGCTAATCACCAAAAATACAGGCAACAAAAGCTAAAACAAACAAGTGGGACTACATAAAACTAAAACGCTTCTGCACAGCAATGGAAACAATCAGTAATCTGAAAAGACAACATATGGGATGTGAAAATGTATTCGCAAACTATGTATCCGATAAGGGGTTAATAACCAAAATTTAAAGAACTCATACAACTTAATATTAATAAAGCAAATAGTCCAATTAAAAACTGGGCAAAGGACATGAATAGATATTCTTCCAAAGAAGACACACAAATGGCTAGTAGGTATATGAAAAGGTGCTCAACATCACTGATCATCAGAGAAAGGCAAATCAAAACCACAGTGAGACATCACATCACAGTTGTTAGAATAGCTGTTATCAAAAAGATAATAGACAACAAACATTGGCGAGGATGTGGAGAAAAGGGAATCCTCTATACACTGGTGGTAGGAATATAAATTAGTACAGCCATTATGGAAAACAGATGGCAATTCTTCAAAAATTTTAAGACAGAACCACCACAGGATCCAGCAATCCCATTCCCGGGTATATATCTGAAGGAATTGAAATCAGTATCTTGAAGAGATATCTGCACACTCATGTTCATCTCAGAATTATTTCAGCATTATTTACAATAGTTAAGATAAGGAAACAACCTAAATGTCCTTTGATGGAGGAATGGATAAAGAAAATATGTATATATACTTGAATATTATTCAGTTATTAAAAAAAAA